GATATTTTGATGATGATTTGCAGTTTTTACTCAAAGTATTGAAATATTACAGTCTGGTAACTGTCATTAACCAATAAGATCGTGGCATAATATCGCGAATTGATTCAAGTTGAATGCATACACTATTAGATGAAACCTCATGCAGGTTAAGGGTTTTTGTGTCAGACCAGTAGTTTTAGGTTCCATTCCCAGTGGCCGAGTGATGAATGTGGACTACTAAGGAGCTTTATACCAGGATGAAATGTCTTTGTAGTGCTTCCAGATTTTTGATGTTTGTCTATTAATTATAAAAATAAATGCTAGTCACTTTAATTTTTTAATTATCAAATCAGTATTTTCATTTGCAAATCCAAGTATTTTCTTCTATGCAGCTACATATTTTTTGTAAATTAAAATGTAGATTTCATTCATCAAGCGCTCTGACTAGACTGTAATTCATGATCGAATCGATCGGATTCCAGATGGTCTCTTGAACCTTGAAAAAGTTCGTTCATCTGTACCACAAGTATAATTCTTGCATTGTAGCTCACACTTGTTCGTTGTCAGAGTACTTACTATAATTCTTAGATTTAATTTTTAACTATAACTTCTAGCTCTAATTCGTTGAACAGCTTTATGACCCTAATAGGAATCTGATTAGTGTTTCAAACTCCTCAAGGCCACTTTTGCATAGCTCACATGTCATCCATAATTTGTAATTTCTACATCATAATAATACGAATCTACAATTACTGTAGGGGGTTTATAGAGGTAGTAAAATTTCATAAATTACATTGATGAGTGTCATACTAGGTCAAAAGAACTTTCCACAGTTTACGGGTTCTAAAAGGAATTCTACTGTTCACTTTAATTCGTATATTCTAACTAATGAGCGAAATGTTTTCTTTCCTCCACGATTTCAGTGGTATGATTTTGTCATGCAGCAAAGTGGGACGGTAGTCAATAATAGATATTATTATGGTGCTGTTTAGCGTCAGACACTGAAGATGTCCATAACGACAACAAAAGCTAAATAATTGAGACATCTAGCAAAAAGATCCCGACGCTAACAAAACCATCCACCTGAGCTTCAAATCCCCATAATTTCATTAATATATATCCATAAAATAATCACATGAAATAAATTTATCATAGCTTAATAGTTTTGTTTATCAACTTGCAGATTCCTTTCAGTATAAGTGTGATATGCCTTTAAATTCATTTATTTGAAGAAGTAGGGTAAAGAGAAAGTTTAAGTGTATTGATTATGCTTAGCAACCGTAAAGTAGTATACACTTTATTTAAATTTTAATAAGTTGTGGATAAACAAAACAGATCACTATATGATAAGCTGTAAATATGTTTTCTGTAGATCTCTTAGTGTATTATAATGTAAAATAGGGAGACCGATTCAGAATAAACTGTTGTTAATAAAACTATATGTACGTATATGGGAAAATTTGTATTTTTTAATTTTAAAAGATATTTAGGGTGTATAAATATTAGGAGTTTAGAAGTTTACAGGAATTTCCGAACATTCGTGCCTAATAGGTGTATATGTACTATCTAGTGGATTGATGCTTTCTAGTTGATTCGAACCCGATACGACCTTTTTCATAGCATAAAATATTACTGCTGAGCTATTCAAGTAGTGAGTGAACTACCATGGGACTTAGATCTTTACGGTTTACTAAACGTTCTGCTACAACTACAGTTATACCCTACTGGCCATTTGTCAGTACATAAAGAACTATTTTATTCAACTGTACGTGTCAGTGGCAAACAAATTTACTGAAACAAAAGTTAGATTTTCTTTCTTGAGTTTTTTCATATCAATTGAAGTCTGATATGATTCCGGATAACTTCATCCTGTCAATCAAACCACAATCAAAAGCTTCTAATTTTGGTGAATTCTACACAAAGTTCTTGTAAGTTCACTTATGAGTGACTAAATCATCAGGCTGACAGCATGACATAATTATATATCCATATATGAGAAGATTTATCTATCATTTAAGCATTGAAGTAAATACAAGTATACACCATTAGCTAATTATTGAAAACAGTCAGAGGCTGAGAGACTCCCTTAGAGAAGTAATGTACATATATAGTTTGTTCATTTTAATTTCGGAAAACATCAAACCACACAAATAACTTTCAATAAAACTAGCTCATTTATATTGCTATACTAAATTGAAAATAAGAGTTTAACTTATCATTTATGTTTATACTGTGCACAAATGCGTTTATCATTAAAACAAATTTCAGGAAAAAAATGTTTATTTATTAGATGAAAATAAAAAAATCATTCGAGAAACTTTTAAATATAACCAAAAAACAAACAAACAGGTAGTAACATTAATCATATACAATCTCAGAGTAAGTAAAAACAAAAAAAATGACAATAAAAATTGAACATTGATCAGATTAATATTGTTTTCATAATTAGTAGAAATATATAATCATGAAAACTAGTTTCCAGTTTGTTTTTGTTTTTTTTTAACTATAAATTAAATAAATCAATGTATAATGGATAGTTTCTTTTTTTAAAGGAAACAATTAACTGTTCCAAAATTTTTATTTTTAAAAATAAGTCAGCACATTTATTATTAAATGAACAGCCCATTTTTAATTTTGCCAATTAAGTACATTATATATATATTTGATATTAGATTGCGCGTAAAAAATAATGATAATATCTTTGAGTATGAAACTTGGATTAAGTCCTACAACGAATATAGATCCCTTTGAAGATTAGAAATACTAATAGCTGACTTGTTACTTAAATCGGGAGCTTCTTAATTGCTCACAAATATATGAAATAAATTAAAAAGGTATTTGGCTATGAACAGCTGGTTTTAACACATGAATACACAATTACTAGATACTTTTCAATTATATGAAAATTAAGTAGGTTGGGTATTCGGAATTAGAGATGGCTGCTGGTGAAATTCATTCATCTAAAACTCAAATACACTGATATCTTAACAAGTGGAAACAAGTGTGCGAAATGCGAAACAATTAAATCAATCATATTAGTGTTTTGCAATGACCGTATAACTATAAACGTGAAGGATGGGGTAGCAAATAAAAAGATATGACTAGATATACATATTTAAAATTAGTCGAGTAAAATGTTTAATTACATAATAGTCACATTTGAAATGTTCTAGTCATTTTCTTACGAAATCATGCCATATATTCTGATTACTCATTAAACTTCTACCTTGAGAGTGAAATCTATGATCTAACAACAAATTTGTGTTGTGTTATCTTAAATAAGCTTATTTTTAAAATACTAGTACTGCGAACTAATTACAGTTACAATAATTTATATTTAAAAAGTATATGAAGTTGACTAAATTTTTCTTGACATTGCTAACATCTTTCTTGAAATATGAGCTCGTTGAGTGAGTATGTCGTTATATATTGAATAAAGTCACAAGTCCGCTCAAGTTTTCGCGTTTTCTTTGGACAATTTATCAGTTATTTGTCTGCCTTCATTCTAAGTAAAATGATATTTAAGTCTTGAGTTCGATCGATGGCCAATATGCAAAATAATATCATCATACAATTAGAGAGAATGTTCTTACAACGACTCAAATATCTTAAATACCTGAGTAAACTGATCCGATCTAGTCCTGAATATGAGCAGCAGTGTCTTGAGCAAACTTGTCTTATTCACAATAAAAGTCAAAAATCAAAAAACGGTCTTTTTATGGGTTAATCGTTTAAATATAGTTAGTTTCATTTAAGTCAAGATACAACGTTTACCATTTAATGTTACGTTATAATTACTAGGTTGGAGTAGTAGAAATATTTGGAATAATTTGAGATAAACTTGAATCAATAACTAAAAGCCTCTTGTGGAATAGATAAAATCAGCTAGCAATTAACACTGTTTCGTTCTAGTTTAAGTAAGCATTATGTTATAAAACGCATACTGAAGTGGATTAATAATGAAATTACTAAAAACAACTGTTCGTTGAAACACTCCTTGTTCCTGAAAATCTCTAATTTCAGTTGCATGCAGCCTATTTATTCACAATCTCTGAAATTTTAAGATAAATAGTACTAAAATAATAACTGACAATCAGTTCCCAAATCTGTTAAGTCGATAGAATGATGCTCTAACTTTGTTTTTCTACCGACCAATTATTGTAAACTTTACACTATATTCATACTAAATGTCTATTGACCATTTCATAATAATAATGAGGATACTTTTTATTCAGTATAGACCAGTTAAGCATATAGCTTCCTGGTTTTACGGTATTTGACAGAGAGTCGTTGTTTTCGAAAGAGATGTCAACAAGCCGACGATATGTGTTGTGGAGTAAATACATTTGAAGGCAAGTATCTGAACAAATTTGAATTGTACCACAATAACTACATGGAATCTAATTTAGTGTACTGCAGAAATAAGGCATTGATTTTGTTTTCAAATAGTGGTCCTCAGGGCTTTTCATATCTAGACTAAACGAATTATACGACTACTGAAGGAAAAAAGATTGTAATTATAGGCTTTCAATGAAGTGATATTGGAGGTTTCTGAACGATAGTCTACTTGATAGGTTACATATGTAGATGACATTGAGCGCGTCCAAATCTTTCAGCTTAGAAAATTGAAAGTTTTCATGAGATATCTGTGAAATAATTGTTGAAAAGGATTTGCTTGCTTCACAGAAATTAAAGATTTTCAAAAGAAAGTTTTCTCTTAGATTTCATGTACGAAAATATCTTCTTTTCACTTATAGAATTGGCCAGTTACTCTTTTAGTTATATAATACTACCAAGTTTTTTGAAATTTTATTTTTTCAGCACCTTGCACAAAAACTGAGTTCAAATTTGACTTCAACTCAAAGTAAACATTACTTTTAAGTCAAAGTAGTTTCCATATTTCATTAACATTTTGATTTGTTCGGTAGAAAACCTTAAGTATTAACAAATTTTATCAGTTTGTCTCTATTTGAAATCCCCAACTATAATTGATTTCAACCGTTTATTTGTTTGTCTTACAGATATAACATCACAACCGTATTTGATTCTGTTCCGACTGGCAATCTAACACCAGATAGTAAGTAAACGTGATTTTCTGTATTTTTTTTATCACGTCATAGCAAATAGAGCCACAAAAATGACTTATCCAGTGTGTAAGATTGAATTAAAAAGGATTAGAGTATAGGAATGAACCCAAAACGACTGTTACGAATTTCAGTAAATTGTTATTTGATTTTATCTGTAAGTAGGATAAAACATGGATATATAAGTTGATTTGTACAAATATAGATTATCTATCTTCTGAAACATTTATAAGGATGCAGATGGATTTCTATGAGCCTCCACATTGTTGCAACTACAGATTTACGATTTTGTATTAAGGATTAAGTATTTAGGGCTATTATTTAAGGAAAGGGTTGGCTTACGTTCTATATACACTTTGCTTAGGATCAATAGACCATTTGATGCATATAATGTTGTCGATTGTACTATAGCAAAAAGTACTTTTGTGTCATCATTTCACAAAACGTCTGGCAAGCAAACAAAAATATATTTTCACTGGTTGTTTGATGACATATTAGATAAAAGTTTTGTATTTCAGACGTAAGTGGGTAAACGTACAAATCAACTTGATTTTGACTGGTTCATCCTAACACTATATATACCTCTATTCAAAAAAAGAAAAAAAAGAAAAAAAGTGGGAAATATATAATTAAAATGATTTAATTAAGATGTGCTAATTAATAGATTTTAAAAATTTAAATTTAAAAAAACAATAACCACAGATAATCATTTGAAATATTAATCTATATTTTCAATAATAATAAATCAATTTCTATCTGTGTGTATTTTTAAATCATTTGAAATATCGATCAATTCGTAGGCCTTTTAAATCAATTACTTGAATTTGATTGGTTGATTTTTTATTGGATGTTATAATATAAATATATATTGTTATATATTTGGAATTACTCTATTGCTTCTTTAAAAGTACAATTTCAAAACAATAAAACAATATGATCATAAGGATTAGCAACAAAAAAAGAATAGGAAAAAGTAAAAAAAATTAAAGAAATACAAAGTAAATAACAACAAGGAACAATGATATTCCGTTTTATTATGATTTATATCTACCAAATATCCATTTAAAACTTTGAATATAAATATTATTGTTTGTATTTACATGAATTCATAAATTATTGAAAGAAGTACAAATAAATATATACATATCTATATGTGTATACAACTAAAGCTTATCTTCAAAGGGATTATTAATAATAATTTGATTAGGATAAATGTTAGTAATTTTCAAAACACATTAAAACATAGATCGAAAAAATGAGGCGAAATAAAATGACGTATTTAAATATGTGGCTAGAGAAAAAAACAATAAAAGAGGGGCTTTAAAAATATACAAAAATTGGAAAGAAAAAGTGATAGTCTTGCTCCCTAGCTATGTGTAACATGTTTACTATATGTATATACATGCATATGAGCAAACACATCTAAGTTTATTTATTTGTATTTTACATGGATTTTAAATAGGAAACTGTTTTCTGAATAAATAAAAGAATAATATTAACAAAGGGTATCGAAAGAAAAAAAGGAAAAAAAAATTAATTTTTGAGTTTTATTTTTTAAAATAGAAAACTGCTAGTAATCAAATTAAGTCACGCAAACACACATTGCGTTATTTCTGTGACTTTTTAAAAACATAAACAAAGTAGAATAAAAATGTTTGAAACTATTTCATTCACTAATTCATGTACATGTTTATTTTTAATAGTAAAATCAGATTAGTTAAAATGGAATGATTAAAAGCCTATTATATATGTACATTGCATAAATTTGTGTTCGCGCTAATGATCTGTCAAGGGATCTTGTTAGAAAACCGGAATGTTTTTTTCACAACAAGAAAAAAGCGTAGTTTCTATGGTTAAATGTGAAGAAGCCAGCAGTGAACACTCTCAACCAAATTTGAGATCAGATTAAAAATCTGTACCTTCTGGTCAACACTTCAAACCCGGAAACAATTAAGGGCATCATGTCATTATCGTCTTCTATTATTGACGGTGTCAGTGTTGAAGACAATATGACTGAGCTTTTCTAGTCATGTGTTCTTATCAAAAAATTCATCGAAATTTGATTTCAAGCTTTTATGCTTCTATCGTATATTGACAACAATAGATGAGGTAAAGGAAAAAGGGACCATTTTAGTAAAATAGAATGGGTTAGAAGTAATGATGTGCATCGCTTTGTGTACATTGACTATATAGAAAATATTCACTTTACTAAAAATGAAGTTTTAGGGACACTTTTCGAGCTATTGAATAGTGTTATGTAAGTTAAACAAACGTTAAAAACCTGAAAGCACCTGACGTTTTATGTCCTATGTCTCGTTAAATTTCACTTGACCAAATCAGCAATAAGAATAACGATTTCTATAACCTTGTCTTTGTGCTAAAACGATTACACGTCAACCAGCACTAGCAGCCTTGACACAACCAGTAGTCCTCAATGGTCCTCGGAATCGTACTGCTGAGGAATTTCATACTAGAGCAAAACTGTCGTTCAGTGCCTCCAGGATTTCAATGTTGGTTTAGCTTAGACTGACTCATGAAATCAAATTTAAACATACTTTGATCCCGACAAAGCCATATTTTGATAAAAACCATTACATCATCTTTGTTAAGAAAGTTTATGGCTGTTTGTACTGACTAGAACTACTGTTCTACAGACATGATGATGGCTATTTTGGTATTGTGTAAAACTGTAATTAGGCACCTTTCAGTAGGCATAAACTATTGTGTTTCTTCAGTTCACTGAAGTCTTGTTTACAATACAATCTTCAGAAATATCTCCTTAGAATATTTTCAAACCTCCGTCAATATAAATATATATAGTAACGCTTTTGGTTTATTATTATACTCAAATATTTCATGGTTTATGAATAAAAGGTTAGTTAAAAATGTTACCATGTAGTTTATTAGAATTTTCACAAAAGAAAAGTGTTAGTGATTACATTTTATTCCTTAAATCTCGTCAAACTATTTTTACACAAAAAAATAAAGGTTGTAATGTTCTGTCTACAGTCTTTTCTTTTCTCCAGTAGTCTGGTTAATAAATTTTACACAAAAGTGAAACCTTTGATCATGACGTAGTTAGTTTTGAACAAGAAATTTATATGTTAATCGCTTTATCTCTTCAAAATCAATTGTTGAAATGTCTTTCTTTCTATTTTCTACAAAATTGTCTTTGAAAAGTGTTTTGATTGTAAAAATTGAATTTGTTTGCATGTGATTAACGCTTAAATACACATATTAATATTGTATACTTGCTTTAAAGGAATGGACATAGATGAAACTAAACATTCAAGCGTACCAACGACTAAAAGAACATGTAAGAACTTATTAGTTTGTTCTTGGTTTATGACAATTTATTGAAATAGTTATTTGGAGATGTTTTTCCATCGAAAACTTAATTACTAATTGTTTGTTTAGTCTCCATAGTTATTATTGAAGACGTAAACTGTTTGTCTATTGTAGAATTTTTGTTTTGTATCATGATTTGAACTTTCTTACCTTACAGTATTGAGAATGTAAAGCAATTTTACTGACTTTCTTTAGAATTATGGATTGATACTGGATCCCTTTTTATGAATCTCGTTGAATTTCATACATTTTCTTGACGTGTTCCGTTGTGTAACAAATTCAGAAGACCATTCGATATCTAAAGTTTAATGTGAAATGTATTAGGAGTAGTATATTTAATACATAGATAAATGAACGAAAAATATTCTTTTCAGTTAGTTCTCTTCATGTTTTACAATTATATCATCTAGAAAGTGGCCTATCGTAAGGTTAAAATATCGTTTAAAATCACAGCAAATGAATTCCATATTATTTGTAAAATAAAATAAAATTTTCAGTAGCGGATTTTGAAGGTTGTTAAACTTCAATAATACATGGACCAGTCACATTTAGACAACCAGTTTTCACTGAAAGCACTAGACAGCCGCTTCGTCTTAGTATAGAAGTCGTTAGCAGTGCACGTCCACGTTCCCGCTAGTGTAAATCGAACCACGAACTTTCTACGTTGAAATGATTTCAATTTATCTACAATATGACTGCTATCAATTAGATGTGCCAAGATAGAACTGCGTATTGTTTTTATTTGGCCATTTCCAAACCATGCTGGTAGATGTTCACTCATTCGTTGGTTAAGTTGCCTAGTAGTACGCCCGATATAGCTATCTCCACAGGAGCAGCTGAACTTATAAATGCACATAGAGGAGGCCAACTCAGGTAACTTATCCTTCGTTTGAGTAGAGATCACTGGTCGACTCGAGAAAGTCAATGCGAGATAGGCTGCGTAGAAAGCTCTACTAATTACTTTTGTTAACCTATCTTTCAGAGTTTCACTAGCTACATCCCCGTTGAATGGTAATTTCATGTATAGAGGCTTCTTACGAACAGTTGAAATCTCCGATTTCTTCCTTGTATCATACATGTACTTTTTGATGAACGCAGCAGGGTAGCCGATCTCAGTCAGTGAGTAATAGATAAATTGCAGTTCCTGACTTAAAGTATCAACAGAACAGATCTTATTTGCTCTACTAGTAAGGCATCTAACCAAGTTTCTCTTATATTGGATAGGTGTAAAGCTATAGAAGTGAGTGTATTGGCAGACAGAAGGCCTTTTTTCTATACACGCTTCTACTTAACGAGCCATCACTTCGCCTGCTTAGTGTAACGTCAAGGAAATTCAGCTTCATGTCACACTCGCCTTCACCAGTGAAGCTAATCGCTGGATGTACACTATTGAACTGTTCTAGTAGTTCATCCTTACTGGTGTTCTGATCCACGACAATGAATGTATCGGCAGTATAGATCGAGCTTCTTAATAACCTCCTTAATTGGGCCATTTTCTAGCTTAGCTAAGAAGAGATCAGCGAGAATCGGGCCTAGAGGTGAGCCCATGGCTATTCCGTCTATTTGTCTATAATAGGAATTGTTGAAGACAATATGAACATTCATTGTACATCTTAAAAGCAGTTCTTTCAGACAATCTTCCGGC